AATTAATACTTCATTTCCAAGAACTTTATGTATGCATAAAATGTGTATGCAAGAATGGAAGCAAAGACAAACTACAAAGGAAGGAGTACAGCAACATTGTCTGGGCACATAGGAATGATGTTGGGAAAATGAGAACTCAGCTGGCATTGAAATGGGAAACAAAGTTCAAAGGCAGTCAGAGGAGCTCTGGAATGTTAGAATATAAATAGAAACATGGACCTGCTGTGGCAGGTGATTTAGTGACAGTGCCCTGAAGAAAGGCTGAGTTACTCAAGGCCTGTCTTGCTTTGGGCTTCACTGGCGAGATCTTCAAGGTCCCTGCACTGAGAGTCAGGGTTCAAGGAGTAGGTGAACTACGAGTACTGGAAGAGGATCAGAGCAGGGGTCTTTTGAGACATCTCCATCTACAGAAATGCATAGGAGCAGAAGGGTAATGAGGTAATGGGAGCTGGGTGATGGCACTGCAGAGCTGCTGGCTGTCAGTTCTGGCAGGCCATGACTGTCAGCACTGCAGCAGCTGAAGAAAGCTACAGCTGTATGGAAAAATGGCAAGGGTGACACGGTGAAACTGCAGGCTGATCAGCCTCATGTCAATCCCAGAGAAAATCAAATGGCCATTTCTGGACACATGAAAAAGGCAATTGGGAATAGCAAGTCTGGATGTAAAATAAATTAGTCAGTCATGCTTGACGGACCTGATTGCCTTCTCTGATGAAATGACTGGGGATAATTCTGTCTAGCTGATATTGGCTGCCTCAGTTCTTAATTTCTATTTACTGGTAAATAAGAACTCTCCACCCTACTGAAGTATTTGACTATGTGATTCAGTAATTTTTGATCAGGCTGTACGTGTAATGCTGTGAAAGCACAGTAGGCTTGAATAAACAGTTGAAACAAATCCTCAGTTTTTCACAAATTGAGACTCTTTTTCCCAGACTGTTGTGATTTGATCACTCAGCTCTTTTAAAACATCAGTGTCATTTTTACTTGTGTTGAATTTTCATGTGCCATTTTGCTTCTGATACTTTAGGTGCCTAAAATACAAGAATTTTGAGATTACTGAAAGAGGAGAAATAGAAGTAAAAGGCAAAGGGAAAATGCACACGTACTTCCTCATTAGAAATAAATCTGCAACTGAGAATGAGATTATGGGAAGGCCAATGAAAGATTTAGATTCTGGCCATGAATCAGTTCACTCCTTTCCAGAATGCAAGACTGAAACTGTACCAAGTTCTCATCAGCCAGGTACAGTCAACTCTACACGTATTTTCCTCCTTGAACAAATGAACATTATTACAATCCAATTAAACGTCCTTTTGTGTTTTTCTTTCAGCTACTCAGACTCAGCAAAAGAAGGACCAGATCCCAACTATTGCAATGAAGTATGTTGATGGCCCCACAGATGCACAAAACAGCCTCAAAAGAAGAAACCAGATGAAAGCTGGAGATTTAACAGGTAGCTATTTAGTTACATCTCACAAAGACCACAGAACTAGGAAGTAACTGAGGCTTAATCTTGCAACTTCTTTTTATTAATCTTCTAAATAACCATAGTTTTGTTAAGCCAGAAATTCATGCCAATGTTACCCTTCTGCATAATCTATAGGGCCAGACAAATTTCACCTTTGGAGCAATCCCAGGTGTTGGTTTGCACTAGTGAGAAAGAAGCTGACAGAGCTGTCAAACCCCAGAGCCCTTCTGGGAGGGCAAATAGAATGGATAAACAGACAGCTTTTCACAGGGACAGAGCCATGAACTGTTCATGTACACATCTTTTCCTAGGAAAGATGTAGTTATGGGGGAGCCTTACCAACTCAAGAGAGGCCTCCTGCCTGCTGCAGGAGTCAGAAGGATTTATTGCAATGCTCATGTTCTGTGACCAAAGTTAATTTCCTTTGAAGTAGCTGATACTCAGATAACAGATTTGATGCCATAACAACCTAATCTAATGTAGCAAGTCTTGTAGTTCTATTTATGTGTTTTGTGGATTTTAAACAGACTAAATATGTTGTCACTGATTACTAGAAAATATTTTACTGCCTTTCCTCCCACCTGCTTAGATGTGGTGGTTAATCTAGTATGTGGTGTGCTGTCAAACAGAAACCTCTCTGGTCTTAAAAACTCACAGTGCAGGAGTGTTTCCTTTCAGGCCAAACTTGTGATTCCAAAAGTGATGGGAGTCTCCATGGCAACCAGCATGCAGATGATGGTCCTCGTCCTCCAAACCAGGGAAGAGTCAAACCTGCTGCTGAAGAGCCACAGAACAGAAATGTTCGCTCTAATTTTTGCACTTTACTCTAAGTTTCTTACTTTTACATTAAACGGATAAATTTTATTATGATTTTGTGCATTTTGCTGTTATGGGACTGATTTTGTATATGAGTATCACATGATTTTGTAAAAAAAAAAAAAAGAAAAAAAGACATTTCATCACAGGTTTCAGTAAAAATAAAACAGTGGAGGAAATGTTTTTAATCCATCTACATGGGCCATATAATACTCCCAGTAGAGAAAGAAACCCTAGAAGGATGCTTTAAAGATGCATTATTGCATGCTATAGATGAGGATTTTCAGCCTTTGCCACATCCTTGTATAAAAATCATGTGTTGGTATCTGATGCAGCAATCGAGAAAGAGGTGACTCATCCAGCTAGAAATATTCCTACTCAAATGAGCATTTGCCATAAAAGAAACATTCCCTGAAGTGACCATCTGTCTTGACTCCAGCACAGCCAACAACTTCCCCATGTAAGGTTAGCAGCATTCCACCTATGTTTTAACTGCAATAACAGCCTAATTTCTTAACTAATCTTTGGTTGGGTATTATGAAGTACAAGTGCAGAATAGATCTAAAATAACCTGTATTTTTGCATTCTGAAGAGAGAAAAATGTGTACTTGATAGCAGCCAACAGTAAAAAAGCACCTGTGGTCTCTGAACCAGCCATACGTACTGTGCATAGAAGAACATGGAAATGGTAGAGTTACAAAGCATTATATTTGTCACAACACTGAAGGACTGTTCAAGGCCTACAGCCTATTTGAAACCTTCAGATGAGTTTCAAGTTTCTCATTTTTTTCACCCCAGCTACACAAAAAAACCAAAACATTCGGGTCTGCAGAAGGAGACTGTCAGTGCTGGAATTAATGCTGCTTGCATAATTGAAAACAACAGCATTACTTGGGATCAGAGGCTGCTTAAACTGAAATACTTCCATGCTGGTATATTCTTAGATTATTCCTGATCAGAAATGGGAGAGAAAATTCGAAGCTCATTTGCCATAGATTTCAGAGAGAGGAGCAAAAATACAATGGATAGTAAGGTTATAGACAACTTGGTGCATCATAAATTGTGCTCTCACTCCTATAAATGGAGCTTGGAATAGGTGGATGACTTTGACAGAAGATGTGCCCTGCACACTGATTTATTACCTTTGGCTGTGGATTCATTGACTAAGGATGCAGGCATGAGACCAATGTGAGCTCTGGGCAAGAACTCACTGGAGAAGGTGATATTGTTACTCCTCTGTGACAGTCTGGAGCATCATATTTCCACCTCTGTGTCTGCAGCAAGAGTGAGGCTCTTTAAACACCAGACAGAGAGCTAAGACTGATGAAAGGCATCTCCTCTTTATAGTATAGCCAGATGAAATTTCACCTGGTTAGATTTTTTTTTTTTCAAATCTCTGAGACAGGAGCTCAGCAGCTCAGTCTACAGGAACAATTAGTGCAATTAGAGCAGCAGAGGAGGATGCACAGAGTGAAGCATCAGTGCTGTTCTCCACTAAAGAGGTGTTCCAGGGGTTTGCCAGGTGTAGTCCCATGCAATGAGCACCTGTTAGCTTTTGGAGCACCTCATGAGCACATGCTCTGGCTTAGCTTATCCAGAAGAGATCCATTTAACACTTGCTTTGCTTAAACCTGCCCTTCTTGCTCTGAGCAATCTATGGGTGTTTAATATTGGAATGTTTTAATTGCCAGTAAGTGCTCCATGGTAAGTTTCTTCATGCTGTGCTGTGGTAAAAATGGTGTGCTCAGTGGTTTCTCTGTGGCATCTGCTACAATCTGGTTCTCCTGGAGGTGCAGAGCTCGGTCAAATCTGCTCAACTGCTTCTAAAAATTAATGTGCCTGTGCATCCTCATGTGTTCTTAAATCTGTAGGGACTTCTAAAGACTGCAAAAATATAATTCAGAAATAAATCTTTTCATTAACATACCAACTGTCATTTGTCAGTGATTACTTTGATTCCTGTCCCTCTTTTCCCTTCCACATTTTCTATTCTCCTTTTGCTCTGGGCCTACAGAAGTGCTCAGTCTTTGTGTCAGTCACATATCTACAGTAAATGGACACAAAAAGGGTGGAGAAGAGAATTCCCACCACTGCCTCATGGAAGCTGAGACTTAAAAAAATTAAAAGTTGAGACTTTTGAAAGCTTTCTGAAACATATGGATTCCCAAATCCCATTAAATCTGGTGTTAAAACCTTAACTGTAAAAGTTTGGGTACCTTAAAGGTCCCAGGGCCAGATTTTTCAAAGACTTTTGTTACTTTTCTGATGGAAAATAACTGGATTTAGGTGCTTAATTGAACACATATGCAGTGTTTAATTCCCACAAATGAAGCTTTCCTTAAAACATTAATAAAACCTTCTCTGTAAAGCCTTCTAAAATGGGCTCTTTAGTAAACTTTCCATACTGGAACCTCATTTGCATTAATTCATTACTTCTGACATTACAATGCAATTCTATATAGATCCAGGCTGAACATAAAAATACACAAATAAAATAGCAGTGAAATTGAAATTATTACTTCAATGGTGAGAATACATTAAAACTGCACTTGAATATAAAAAACTATGGTGAAATTCAAAATGAAAAAAACCCACACTATCTCATAGAAGTACACAACATCATGGAAAATTCAGAGGGGTTTTTCTTCTACTAAGTCTCTGCTTCCACCTTAGAAAACTCAAGACTTTAAGAGTAGACAACGAGATTAAAATCTTCCTTGAAGTTATCTGTACAAACATCTACTATTCATGTATTCTTTATACAATATTTAATCATCAGTGCTTCCTGTACAGAAAGAAATAGCAGTGTGCAGTATTTTGATTCCATAAATAGCTGTAATCAAAATAAACACATGGAATGTTATCTTCACTTATATGATTAGACTAACAAGCACTGCTCATTTTTTACAAGCTGTCTGTAGTTCTATCTCACAGTTATATTGTACTTGCTTGCTGAATTTCTGCTAATGATTTTTGGTCTGAGCTGTGCTGAGAAGCCATTCCTAAAAAATTCTGATATTCACAGTTCTTCCTATTTTGACTTGGTGTCCAGCCTTTAGTCTCCAGCAGGATGTGCACACCATGTGAGAAGCAGATTTGAAGCCACATTTTCATACCAATAAGTACTTACTCTCTCCTGTGCTCTGTTAGAAGGGAACCCCAAAAGGGTTTCTGCCAAGCTTTGCAGAAATTCAGGCAACATTGACTGACTCTGTAATATCTCCTTAACTTTGCTGTATTAGTGAAGCTTGAAAGTTTTACCTACAGAGAAAACCCCACAGGCTCTTAGATAGCTCTTATTTTGTCATTTGCATCAGACACCTTTCTGTCACGGGAATCAGCAAACACAAGTGATGCCACAGTTTCTGCTTTTTGTGACAAACACACCAAACCCAGCTTCAGCACCCTGTGCACAGTCCTGAGGTGAGGGGTCCTTGGACACATTGCACAGAAGGACTTGGTGGAGGCACCTTTGCTTTGTGTGGTTTCATCACAGTGCCTGGGCTTCCAGCTGGCTCTGTTGTGGCTTCCATTTCCATGCTGAACATCAGGCCAGTGACCCAAAACACGGCTGGGTGATGCTCTGTGGGCATCCTGCCAAAACGTTTTGCAGCAGAGGAACCTGACACACAGCTATCATTTAAGGCCAATTTATCTCGGGAGTCAATGGGCCTTTAAAAATTCACCAGCTCACATATCCTTTTCAGTGATGGTCATCAGATGTTTTGTGCTCTGATTTTGTGGGCTTTTGAGAGAACCTTGCTTTTCAGCAAATGATGACATATCTGTTGGTAAGAGGAAACTCACAGCCTTCACTTTACCCCTGGAAAAAAAATGAGAAATCATTATGAGGATTACAAATGTATAAAACATTCAGAGAAAGTAAAAAAAAAAACAAAAAAAACCCAAAAAACCCCCAAACAAACAAACAAACAACAACAACAAAAAAAAACAACAACAACAAAAAAACACCAAAATACCAACCTGAGCCAGCAAGGAAAAAGTAAATTTTTGTATGATAGTGGAGGCAGGATTTCACACCATTCACATGGCCCTCCCAAAGGACCAAGCATGGTGCTTTTTCCATTGAGCCTCACCTCTCCCTATCAGTGCCTAACCTGTGTGTACAACGCTGTGTGTGCACAGAACCCTGGGGGTGCATGTGCACCCACAGAGACCTTTCAGTAATTTTAACATCATAGTCCTGAAATGAGTTCTCAGCCTCTCTTATCCTGTATTTAATTTTTTTTTTCATTTACCAAACACAGTGGGAATCCCTTGGTAGAAATAATACTTTAGCATATATTAATTACAATATTTTAGACATGCAAATTAGAGATGATTTGTTAGCTGTGCTGGTTTTTTATTACTTGGGTGCAATGGCATTCTATATAAATTCAAGGTGATACTTCTACAGAGTTAATTTTAAAGCAAAAAATATTCATATCACATACAGGATTATAGCTTTGGAGCAAAATGTGAGGAAGCTACAATAAACTAAGAATAACATGACATGAAGCAGCATGCTGGAAAGCAAAAATGTCATCCTTGTAAAAAATGAAGCTTAATAAGCTTGCTGAACTAATTGCTAGAAATTGCCTTACTGGTGAAAAGCTAAGATTGGTGTCTGTGTCAGACATTGAGTATATAATGGAAGAATCCACCATTAAGACCATAAAAGATACTAAATGTTTTTTTTTTGGTGTAAGAAACACAAAGCTTTGTGTTCAGGGTATCAACCAGCCTACCGAGGGGGTGAGGTGCAAAGCTCCTTCCACAGCCACTTCTGCTAGAGCAGTGAGGGACGTGAGTCACGGTTCAGCTTGCCACGATAAAATCATCATTGCTGCGTTCGGCCACGGGGCACCCGGCAGGTCCCCGGGCACTCCACGCAACAGATCTGTGCTGCTACTCTGATTGCTTTCAAAGCTCTTTCCCCTCGTGAGCAAGCAGCAGTATCTGCCATTGCCATCCCTGCCTGCTGGAGGTTCGCTGCCTCGCACGCCCTCCACGTGAGCTGGCTCCAGGCAAAGCCCGAGGTGTCCATGGGCTCCAGGAACCCCCAGTGTCCCTGGGGCCTGTGGGGTGTGAGCAGAGATCAGAGCCACGGGGTCATGGTGCTTGGCAAAACGATACGAGTTCCCTGCCACGGACTAAATTTAGGTGTCTAACTGCTGTAAAAGTCTGACCCTGAAACGCCCTTACATGGAAACCCAGGTGCCTCCATGCCTGACCTTGTTGTCCTCTGCAGCCTCTCAGAGAGGAGCTGGGCCCCAAAGCAGCTTTGCACAGGGAGTGCAAGGGGCTGGCACTGCTCTGCTCTGAGGATTTAGGGGGACAGAAGAAAAGCTGCTGTGATGTGCCATGCACAGGTACCTCCACACAGGTGACACAACCCCCAGCGGGTATCAGCCCCGGGGTGGCCACTGGAGTCCTGTCCCAGGACGTGCATGGGCAGGCAGGGCCTTGGACTTCTCCCTGCCCAAATACACGCTTTGAGGGCATTTGGGTGATTGTCCTTTGGAGCACAGCATGACTGGGCTGAACCCAGGAATCAGCATGAATTCCTAAGGTGGATATATCAGCAGCAGGATGTGGCTGGGCTATCATATATCACAGTCTCATTCCTGTTGGTTCCACCTGTGGTTGTTGTCCTGTGCTGGAAAGCTTCTCATCAATGAGCAGAGACACTCAGGGCTGGTCCAGCAGCCATTTCACTTAATTTAGAAGCTGTCCTCAGACTACTTTTTCAATGCTGAAAGCATTAGCTTGTAATGCTTCAGTTACAGGGGAAATATGATACAATACATCTAAATCCATGAGCCACAGTAAACACACTTCTAAAGGCATAGTGCAGAGTTCCTTGGTATTTCTATGCTTTTTGTTCAAAGTTTAAAAATCACTTTCAAGCTTAGCTTGTCAGAACATCACATCAATCTGCAAAACTCTGCCTGGCTTTAACAGAGCAAAAATTTCAGGCCCCTTCACTCTGCCTCTCCTTTCTATAACAAATTTAACCAGCTACCACTGCCAAACCTCATGCAGTGCAGGGAGGAGCACAACTTCCTCAAAAGGGGTCTCCAGTCTGCTCAAGGCCCATATACATTCAAACAACTGTTTTGCTGATAACATATTAAAAGCCAGAGCAAAGTTCATATATCTTATTAGGTGAAACCTGTGACCAGCCCAGGCAGGAGGTGCTGTGAAGGCAAACCAAACCTACTGGCACTTATAGACGTGCTCCTGAAACAGCTTCACGTTGCTGGAGTGGCTGTAGGAGAGACAACTGGCTGGTGATTTTTCAAGCCCTTTCTCCTCTTCCCTGCTGAGCTGTGCTGCAGCAGGAGGGGCTGGTGGCTGGGTTCTGCCTGGCACCTCCAGGAGCCCAGAGCTTGGAGGCTTCCTGCCAGCCCAGTGGGACCTTGTGCTGGAAGGAGCAGGAGCTGGGGAGACGGTGGGGTAGCGTCTCACAGTCATGGCAGTGTCTGAGGAGCAGAGAAAAAAACAGAGATAAAAACAATACTAACACTAATAATACTACTATTAATTATAATAATGACAGTTCAGATATCCTCAGTGTATTTTTGGAGAGTAAATTTTTACATGGGCAGATAGTGCTAGAATAAGGGGGAACAGTTTTCAGCTAAAAGAGGGGACATGAGATTTTAGGAGGTGAGGCAGTGGCACAGGTTGCCCAGAGAAGCTGTGGATGCCCCATCCCTGGAAGTGTTCAAGGCCAGGATGGACGAGCCTTTGAGCAATCTGGTCTAGTGGAAGGTATCCCTGCTAATAGCAGGGGTGTTTGTAGTAGATGATATTTAAGGTCCCTTCCAACCCCAAATCTACCATTCTATTTTTAATCACTTTTTTGAGACTCAAAAACATGAGGTGTGCTGAAGCTGAGAGGCAGAGGAGGCCAGGCAGCCCCTTTAGGTCCTACCCTTTGCCCTAGAAAGCAGCGGGAGAGGAAGTGCCACAGGGTTAGAAAGCACTTTCCACAGCTTCCCCCTTGCTGAAAGACCATGGAGCTGTTCCCAAAGTGATGACATCCCCAGCCACCAGCAGCTCCTGCCTGAGGCCTTCAGGCTGGTAACCTGGCCACTGGGTCAGTGAGATTGGCAACAACCACTATTCCATCACAGCACCCCTCTGGCTGCATGAAAATCACTCCTGCTGGTCAGCCTCTCATCTTGTTCCTCCACACAGATTTGTCTCCATGAAAACTTGTGGGGCCATTTCTCCAATACTTCTCACCAAGCCACATTTTGCTCTGATTCCTACTTCATAAATCCCTCCAGAAGTCCCAACCAGACTTCTCCAACTGAGGAATATTTCCATTTTTCTCCTCTGATAATATTGCGAAGAGAACGTATTCCTTTATATTGACCCCTCTCTGCCTCAACAAGAACAAACTGCATTGTCTGCAAAAATAAACTGCACATCTGTCGTGATGTATGCAGCCAACCCGTTATTTTTTATAGCATTTTTCTCATCTTTGACTAAGGCGGGATGGGTTGTGGCATGATTATGAGCCTTGGCCCTTTTCTGCCTGGAACAGAGATGGGACAGGCATGTGGCGGAGAATCCACGCCTGCAAAAAACCAAAGCAGAAAGTCAAATTCTGCTGAAGCAAACTGAACTCTTTGAGTTGAACCCTTTGTTTTAGCAGCATTAAAATACTCCACAGAGCTCAGCCGTGGGGGATGCACCCTGAAAAGCCCACGGAGCAAGACATGCAGTGCTGTGGGTGTGGCGTGAGCACAGAAATGAGGCCAGGGCACTTCCATGGAGTTAACCAGAAGGCAGCTGGCACTCCTTCCCCTTCCCTGCGGGCTGGCACACGCTGCACGGGCTGTGCCAGGGCAGCCCCCCTCGCAGCCGGTACCTGTGTGCTCCGCGGCGCGTCCCGGCAGGGATGCTGGGGATGCTGGAGCTGCCGGGGATGCTGGAGCTGCCGGGGATGCTGGAGCTGCCGGGGATGCTGGAGCTGCCGGGGATGCCGGGGATGCTGGGGCTGCCGGGGATGCTGGAGCTGCCGGGGCTGCCGGGGATGCCGGGGATGCCGGGGATGCTGGGGATGCTGGGGATGCTGGAGCTGCCGGGGATGCCGGGGATGCTGGAGCTGCCGGGGATGCTGGAGCTGCCGGGGATGCCGGGGATGCTGGAGCTGCCGGGGATGTTGGAGCTGCCGGGGCTGCCGGGGGTGCCGCCGGTGCCCCGGCCCCGCGGGCGCGCTGCCCTCCGCCCGCGGCGCCGCTCCCCGCTGCCCGCCCGCAGCCCCGCAGCTCTCCCTGCAGCGCCCTGTTTTCCCTCTCCAGCTTGTTGATTTGGGAGCGCATCTTGCGGATGAGCTGCAGGAGGTGCGCGTTCCCCTCCATGCTGCGCTGCCCTCGGAGCCGCTGCTGCTCCCGCGGGCTCGCCCTGCCCTTAAATCCCCCGGGCACCGGGAGCCCCTCCCGGCCCCGATCCCGGCCCCGATCCCGGAGCGAGGTGCCGAGAGAGGGCCATGATTTATTCATCCGGGCTCGCGTTTCAGAGCGGAGCGGCCTCTCCCCGCCGCACAAATCACTGTCAGCGGCACCGCTGCCCCGGGGAACCCGCGCCTGCCTCTTGCGCTTCTCCGCACGCTGAGGAGAGCGGAGCCCATTTCCTTTGGTTTGCCCAAAATGGCCAGCGATCACCTGCTGGCACGGAGAGAGTCACCCTTTGCTGGGCAGCAATTCATCTCTTCCCTAACACGGCGTGATTTACACTTTTTTGCTTAGTGTATCTGCAATTCCAATTCCAGAGTTGGCAATTTCTCTCGGGAAAATTCAACTTCTAAGTGAAAGCTGATACAGTGCAAGAAGCCTGCTATTAACAACACATGCCAGCAGCTGCGATGGACAAGCAGGAACACCAAAGCACTCCTGGAAGGCTGCAGCAGAGCCTGGGCCCTCTCTGGGCACCTCCTCTGCTCCACTCTCTGGAGTGGAGCTCTGGCACCAGCACCCAGGAGTGTAAGGAGAGACAGACCAGGCATGATTCTTGCATTAGCAAGAGAAACACAATCCCCTGTATTTCTCTCATCACCTAGTCCCTAAAGCTATCTTTCTTCTGTCAGTAAGATGCAAAAACCCGTGGAGCAGTCTTCCCACTCCCACTCCCCAAAATCCTACTTCAAAATACCGAGAATGCCAGAAAATCACCAGGGACATAATTTAACACACCTTTTGCTTTGAAGCCCTTCACTTCCCAATACCTCAACAGTGACTCAGGAATAATAGAGGAAAAAAACCCCATTTCATCTGTATGCATTTCCCTACTCTGCTGCTAGAGGCTGGGGGAAGAAAGAAAAACTGTTGTGAGATGCTACAAACGTGAGATGACTCAGTCTTTGTTTTTCCCGAGGTGTCAGAAGGGCTGTGGGTGTATGGGGAGGTGCTGCTGCCCAGCATCAGCCCTGCTGTCACCTCCTGGGAGCTCCCCAGAGGGCTCTGCATGGCTCAGGCTGTGGGCAGAGAGGTGAAATGTGGGTTCTCAGGCTGCAGATGAAGCTCACAGCACCCATGCATTTTTCATGGGCTTGGACCCAGGCTGAAATAACAGAATAGGTGCTCCTGTACTGGGGATAACATGTAGGGAGCATTATGGGTCTATTTCTCCAGCAAGCAGATCAGACACTGGAGCAGTGACAGCATCCACGTGTAATTATAATATTGCTGCTGATCCTGCAGCTGGCAGGTTTGGCTGGGCAGGGGACACTTACCAGCTCAGCAATTAACTTACCCCAGCTGTAGCTGCAGACATCTGCTCCTCTCATCCCATGCCTGCTGCTCCTGTGGAACCAGACTGGAGCAGGCACAGGCCTTTTAATGCATCAGAAGCATCTGAGGAAATGCCTTTTGTCTTGTAACCTTGTACAGCTGCCCCTGCTGAAAGGGCCAGATGACTTGGAAGCTCCAGACAATCATAACCCGGCAAAGCTGCCCTTGCCACTGGGCTGACCAGTGTATTCCCTGAAAACAGAAGGAGCTCCATGCATCCAACCCTGTTTTTTGTAAATTCAGTGAGGTGCAAGACGTGTGCTAACCCTGCCAGCTCCTGGATGCTGCTGCTCTCTGTGCCACAGAGGGAAGCATGCTGGGTGCCTCTCAGCCATGGCATGCTTGCAGGCTGCAGATTTTGGTGAGCATCTCTTCAGTGTGCCTGCCCCAGCCTACTGCAGATACCTATAACTGTGTGGGCTTTGCTGTAAAACACCTCAGCTTTAACAGAAGGGGCAATTTCTCACACCTGAGATGCTTTAGCTCTTGTCCTTGGAAGGATATGGACCCAGGTAAAATTGTTTTCAGCCTCAGACATACCCAAAGCTCTCTGCTTGAAGCTCCATAGCAATATCTCTGTGTGGCTGCTGGTGGATGTGTTCCATCTCAGTGGACTGTACAAACTGCATAGTAAATAGTACTGCAGCAGAAAACCTGCGAACAAAACCCAGACACCTTGTGGAGCATCTTCATCCAAAGTGGGAGCCCAGCTCTTTGTTCTGGCCCTGCCCAGCACGGTGACAGGCAGCAGCTTCCCTGGGGAAGGGCTGCACTGAGGGCTGGGAAGGGACAGTGTGAAAACTGCCACCAGCAGGAAACGGCACCTGCACAGCCACCACCACTGCTGAACAGTTTTTGTAGCTGTCTCACTTGCCAAACCCTTCTTGCTCCCCTGAGGTTAGTGAGATGAAAAAATTGAAAAGGACTCATTGCTACTCTAGTACAATGATTTTTTTTTAGCTTACCACAACATTTTGTTCTGGAAAATCCATCAGCAGCAGGTGTGTGGATGTTTTCCGAGACCTGCTGCAGCTGGAGGTGTGTCCTGCCTCCCAGTGGCACGGGAGTCCCGTGCAAAAAGACAGAGCCTCCCTTTCCTGGGGCTAAACCCGACCAACAGAGCACAAGTACTGGCACTGCATCTCCAGCCTCGCTGGGAGAGGATGGGGGAGAAGCACAGCAGCCCACCTGCCCCAGCAGGAAATCTTGGGGAATAGAACAGCTCACAGGTCCATCATCCCAGCAGCCCAGCCAGGGCGGTTCTGTGTGTGAAAGGGCTGGGACGGTGCCTGGGCAGACGGAGCCTGTGGGAGCGCAGAGCGGCACTGACGGAGCTGCCCGAGGCGGGCACGGCGCTCCTGCCCCAGCAGCGCATCCCTGCCCCAGCAATGCATCCCTGCCCCAGCAGCGCATCCCTGCCCCAGCAATGCATCCCTGCCCCAGCGGCGCATCCCTGCCCCAGCAGTGCATCCCTGCCCCAGCAGGGCATCCCTGCCTGCCCCAGCGGCGCATCCCTGCCCCAGCAGTGCATCCTGCCTGCCCCAGCAGTGCATCCCTGCCCCAGCAGCGCATCCCTGCCCCAGCAGCGCATCCCTGCCCCAGCGGCGCATCCCTGCCCCAGCAGCGCATCCCTGCCCCAGCNCCCCAGCGGCGCATCCCTGCCCCAGCAGCGCATCCCTGCCCCAGCAGCGCATCCCTGCCCCAGCGGCGCATCCCTGCCCCAGCGGCGCATCCCTGTCCCAGCGGCGCATCCCTGCCTGCCCCAGCAGTGCATCCTGCCTGCCCCAGCAGCGCATCCCTGCCCCAGCAGCGCATCCTGCCTGCCCCAGCAGCGCATCCCTGCCCCAGCGGCACGTCCCTGCCTGCCCCAGCAGCGCATCCCTGCCCCAGCGGCGCATCCCTGCCCCAGCAGTGCATCCCTGCCCCACCAGCGCATCCCTGCCCCAGCAGTGTATCCCTGCCCCACCAGCGCATCCCTGCCCCAGCAGCGCATCCCTGCCCCAGCAGCGCATCCTTGCCCCAGCAGCGCATCCCTGCCCCACCAGCGCATCCTTGCCCCAGCAGCGCATCCCTGGCCGGGCCGAGCCAGCCCCGCTGTCCCGCCCGGAGCGCGCCCCGTGTGTCACACACCGTGAGCGGGTCCCGCACGCGTCACCTCTTGCAGAGCGCTTTTCTGAGCGCTCTCGGACAGCGGCCTCCCCGCAGTGACAACGAGCCGGTGGCTCGGCAGACGAGCCCAGCACGGAAATACGAGTGTGCAGGAATGCTCTGTCCTTGGTAGGGAAGTGGGAAGAGAAAGCGCTCCAGATGAGTGGGAGGGGGACATGGGGACAGGGGTTGCCCTCGGGCACGGGCATGGGCAGCAGCTCTCGGAGGGGAAGAAGCAGAGGGGAGGGCAGAGCCGCTGGGCTCGCCCCCATCCTCAGGTGTAGCCGGGAGTGAGCGGACAAAGCTGGCTGCTCTGCTCGAACGAGACCTTGCCTTGCTCACGACTAATGAAAATCTCCCTCTCAGCCGCGGCTGAGCGGGACTCGCTCGCAGCGGGGGCAGCGAGGCACTTGTGGCGAGCGAGCTCCGCATCCTCCTAGAAACAAAGCAAGGTGGCAAAAATCAATTACATGTGTAAAGCATTCTCAGGTTTCAACATCTCAGTAGGTAATGATGGCACAAAGTTATCTGATTGGTCTGTTAAAAAGTAATTGTTTAACTTATTAATGTCTGTTAAGCATCCTTTTCCTTTTGCAAGGCCTGACTGTGCCTTAACTCCCACATGTATGTAGAAAATCCCACATGTCCCATATTAAAAGAAGCTTTGATTTTGAGCATAGAAGGTTTCTGAAAGGGGCTGGAATTCCAGCAGGGGATGCTCAATACTTTTGAAAAATCAGGCTTAACTTGAAAAGGCAAGGTACATGAGTCACATCTGAAAACCTTGGCTGTGGTTTTGGACTGGGCTGGCACAAAGTTTGGCTACAGAAACATTTCAAACTCCTCTAAGAAGGCACTTCAGGTGCCGTGTTGAATTTCCAAGGCTCTGTCCCTTTAAATGAATCCTCAAGTTAGTGTGGAATAATCAGAATTAGTCTCCTTTATGCCAGCACCCTGCAAGCACAACATATGCTACAGAGTACAAACTCATGCCTCATGCAAGAGAA